AAACCCTAACAAAGTGACTGCTCCTTTCTTGTTCCTGACCTCAACCCAAACTGACTCTGTAGACATATCATTCTCGAACTGCCTTTCAGTACCTGCTATACTAGCCCTGACTAGCAATGCCACACCCCCGCCTCTTTTACCTCCCTCCTTATTTCTTTCAAAGCATCTAAATCCCGGAACGTCCAACAATCATTCCTGTCCCTGAGTTACCCAAGTTTCTGTAATGGCCACACATCGTAGTTCCAAGTACTGACCCATTCTCTAAGTTCATCCACCTTATTTCTGATACTTCTAGCATTGAAGTATACGCACCTCAAACCATCTCTGTATCCACAATTACGCTTCATTGACCGCACTTCTTTATTAACAATATCAGTCCCTGTTGTGTCTGTTGGAAGGCTGAATACCTCATCCTCTGAATTACAAATCCGGTTCCCCACCCCTTGCCAATCTAGTTTAAACCATCCTGTATAACTCGTGCAAACATCCCTTCCAGGATATTTGTTCCCTTCAGTTCAGGTGCAACCCGTCCTTACTGTACAGGTCCCACCTTCCCCAGAATGTGCTCCAATTATCTACATAATGGAAGCCCTCCCTCCTACACCAGCCCTGTAGCCATGTGTTTAGCTGTACTCTCTGCCTATTTCTTACCTCATTATCACGTGGTACTGGTAGTAATCCAGAGATAACTATCCTGTTTGTCCTGGACTTCAGCTTCCAACTTAACTCCCTGTACTCGTTTTTCACATTCTCAGTCCTTTTTCTACCTATGTCATTGGTACCGATGTGTACCATGACTGCTGGTTGCTCAGCCTCCCCCTTAAGGATCTTGAAGTCACGATCCGAGACATCATGGACCCTGACACCCGGGAGGCAACATGCCATCCGTTCATTTGTTCGCGTCCACAGAACCACCTGTCTGTGCCTCTTACTATTGAATCCCCCACTACAATTACTTTCCTATTATCCCCCCTTCCCTTCTGTGCCACAGGGCCAAGCTCAGTGTCAGATACCTGTCCACTGTGGCCTTTCCCTGGTAGGTCCTCCCCCCCAACAGTTTCCAAAATTATATACTTATTATTGAGGGGAACGGCCACAGGGGATCCCTGCACTGTCTGCCTATTCCCTTTCCCCTTCCTGACAGTCACCCAGCTTCATTTTTCCTGTACCTTGGGTGTGACCGCCTCCTTATAACTCCTCTCTATCACTCCCTCAGCCTCCTGAATGATCCAGAGTTCGTCCAGCTCCAGCTACAGTTCCTTAACGTGGTTTGTGAGGAGCTGGAGTTGGGTGCACTTCTCGCAGGTGAAGTCAGAGGGGGCACCAGCAGTGACCCTTAGCTCCCACATTCTGCAAGAGGATCATGCAACTGCCCTAGCTTCCATTTCCTGTACTCTAGATTTCCAGAAGAATTAAAACAAAAGGCCTTACCTTACCGACCCTCCACACAGTCTTTTTTTTTTGGTTAGAGTAGGAGGATGGGTGGGAGACACTACATGTGTAGTGTTTTGGATTCAGCCAATGCCCGAATATATTAGTTCCTTCCTGGCTCGCGTTCTCTCCACACACCCGCCGCTGAAAACAAGAAGGCCGCTGCTGCACGAGGTAAGTTTTTTATACAGAAGGAAAAAACAGCCTTACTTTCCCGTCGGCACCCTAGCTCGCGCTGCTGCTGGAAACAAGAAGGCGCTGGTTTTTTTTTACTAGAATGATGCCTGGATTAGAGAGAGTGAGCTATAAGCAAGGCAAGAAAATTGGAGATGTTTTCTCTTGAGCAGCAGAAGCTGCAGGGAGATTTGATACAAGTCTATAAAGTTATGAAATGCATAGATAGGTTTGACAGTCAGAATCCTTTTCCAAGAGTTGAAATGTCTAAAACTTGGGGTCATGCATTTAAGGTGTGAGGGGGTAAATTTAAAGAAAATGTGAAGGGAAAGTTGTCTTTATGTACAGAGAGTAGTAGGAGTGTGGAATGCAGTGCCAGGAGTGGTGGTGCAGGTAGTTATGATAGGAACATTTAAGAGACTTTTAGATAAACATATGAATATGCAAGGAATGGAGAGATATGGACCAAGGCCAGGCAGAAGGGATAAGTTTAATTTGGCGTCATGTTCATCTCAACTTTATGGGCCAAAGGTCCTGCTATTGTGATGTACATTTCTATGTTCTATCTTCTACATTCTAATAATTACTAGCTGAATTCCCACTTTGAAAAAATTCCAAATATATTCACTTGGCCATTATCTCACTTTGGCAACTTGCTATCACATTAACCAAGCCCTCTTTCTCACGAATCAATAAACAATACGGCAAGGAAGCTACCAATTCATTCCAAGTTGAAATTCCATTACAGGGCTCGTTACATAAACATTTAGAAGTTATCTCTGCGGAGGAATATAAAGTATAAGAAGCAAAGAAACACAAATGAAACACGAATGTGACATTTGTTTTCAGTTTGGTGACATCTGCATGACCGAAGTTTTTTTTTTAAGGATAATAAGACATGCACATTGAAAACGACGATAAATTAACTGGAGGGTTGTGGAGTCCGCAACAGAATATTCTTCAACTTCATATATTTTTTCTTCTTTTTACTACACGTTTCTTAGAATAAACAGCTAAGATTCAGTAATACTAAGGTATCAATTGAATTGTTTGAAATGGTGAGACCAGTCAAAATGCCATTTTCTCAGACGAAAACGTTAAAGCTTTCTCAGAAATGGGTAAGACCAAATTCCAACAAATATTAGAAACTGGAGTCAAGTGTGTTAATAATGTTGAAAATGCCAAAATTAGCAGACAGTAAATACAGAAAGAAAGAGTAAGATGATTTTTTTTTTTCACTTGCAAAAAGTGTTCTATAATTCCATGTGATAATTTACCAAACATTTCCTGCCATGGTAAACCGAAGGTCTCCCACTTAACGATTGACTAAAAAAATGTGGTGCAGTTAATCCCAACTCAGATTGATATTTGAGAGAAGCAAAGAAGGCTTTGCGATTCCATGTTACTTCTGAACTTTAGATAAACAATACAAACGAGTACATGTTCAATAAGATCAGTACAGGTAAATTTATAAAAGCTGTGCACCCAGCACCCTACATCAGTAGGTAAGAACACAGGTTGATTAAATAGTTAAATCATAATTGACCTGCTTGTCCAAAGCCTGTTGAGATAGTTCGTCGAAATGCACATTCCAAATTAATGCGACTCCTGCAATGTTTTGCCTTCGTGTAAGACTAGTAGACTGATGTCCTCCCAAGTAACGCGCATTAGCTGTTTGCAGGAGAATGGGAGATGCGAAGAGTAGTTCGCTTGTCCTTGAGCCATTCAGCTAGACTGTGTAATGTTAAAGATGTTTTAAAACAACCACAATCAATTTTTCACCCTTTAGAATATACCTGTAATCTTGTCATCTCTCTAAACTGTAGGTTGATATCAAAATTCTCTTCTGAAAATCAATGCATCAATAACATTTGTTCCTCTTTCCGATGTGGCTATTCTGCAGCAACCCTCCTTTCAAAGTTGTACTTGTCTTACATTTTTTTTCTGATATAGTTTCCTCCAATGCACTGAACCTCAACTATTTTTGCCTTGTGCTGTATTGTATTTGATATATATGGCAGTTCCAACTGGTGTTATATCATGGAACTCTCATTACATTGTATTTTGCCATCGTGCTGTCCCATATACAATGTCTTTATCAAATTATCACTCATTGTCACTATCTTCACCCATGTTCCATTATTTCTTGCATCTCCTTATTGCCTTATTTTTCACTGAATCTGTTACGCGCATCATTTTCACCGAATCATACCTACTACTAGTGTCCACCTGTCACCACCATTCTGCTACCACCCACCTCTTTACCTGCAGCTGTCCCTAACCCCACATAAAGTCCTGAAGAAGGATAATACCCGAAATGTTGACTTCTCCTATCCTCCAGATGCTGCCTGGCTTGCTGTGTTCCACGAGCCTCCTCTTTGTCTACAAATCAGTATCTAATATCTTCTTGCTGCGTTGTTCCTTCCAAATACCTTGAATTAAGTTAGCATACACAGATTTCATCAGTATTTTACGTCCTTCATGAGAAGCAAAATGGACTAAAATGAGCTACTTATGGAAATTCAATGAAGAGCATTGTCATTTGCCAATCCTGCAATGCATTTCATACTTGCAAATTTCCTCTTTTGGCATCAGGGAAATCATTTTTGAATTGTATTCACACAGTTCTCACAAAACGTGCAACACCTTTCACGACAGGAAAGAAAGTAAAACTAATGCGTGGTCTAGAATAGTGTTATGTTTATGTAATGAACAGTATTTGAAATGTTCGAAATCCAAACACATTACAGGATCTAAAATTGGTCTCTTCGCACAAAGCGATGAAGCTTAAGAACTCATTTTCGGTTCTCTTTCTCTCTCTCTCTCTCTCTCTTTCTGTCTCTGCCACTCTCTCTCGCTCTCGCTATTGACAGGGAGGGATGATATTGGCACATTTGTTCTTCAATGCTTCAGTGGTTGTTCTAGATTTTGAACAATTATGCGAATTTCTGGTCTTGAAAATCAAGCATGATCGAATGCAAGAAGTAAAAGTATGCTAGCCTTAAGTTTTGTTTTAGAACACAAGTGTTATTCACCTAGAGCTATTGGATCAGTAAAATAAAATCTTCAGAGATATGCTTAGAATCTGGTTCATAAAATACTAATTCAGTTTGGCACATGCAATTAACAGTTTATTCATACTGTGCTGTGCAATAAGTGACCGATGGGATGAGATTGAAGCTGCAGCCCTCCTGGTAAATATGTTGAAGTTCATAAAAGTTTGTTTTTTCAGAAAGGTCTTTTCATTATTCTTATTTATTTAAAATACAATTAAACCCCAGTTGTTTTATTATTTTGATGTGTCTGACATCTGCTCCCTAATGGTTGTTCTTAATGTTATAATTATTTTCCACATTTTGCCCTTGGCAGTGCTAATTACACATCAGAGTGAAAGGATGTCACGTTCAAAGGAGGCAAATGAATTTCTCACTAATCTAACTAACTTGTTTGATGCTCAAAGGGAAAGTTCATATGAAACGTTCGAAGTGATCTTCATTATGATTATGACAGGATCCATCAATTTGATAACCATCATTGGAAACATTCTGGTTATTATCTCAATCAAAATAAACAGACATTTACGAACTATTAACAACTACTTCCTTTTCAGCTTAGCCTGTGCTGATTTGATTCTTGGTCTGTTCACTATGAACGTATTCACCATTTACACTGCATTTGGATACTGGCCTATGGGCCCAGTTTTTTGTGATTTATGGCTTGTTGTAGATTATGTTGTGAATAATGTATCTGGCATGAACCTTCTTGTCATCAGTTTTGACCGGTACTTCTGCGTGACAAAGCCCCTTAGCTACCCTGTGATGAGAACAACTAAGATTGCAGGGATAATGATAGCAATTGCTTGGGTGGTGCCCTTTTTCCTCTGGGCACCTGCCATTGTTTTCTGGCAGTTTATCATCGGCAAGAGGACTGTTCCTGAGGGTGAGTGTTATCCACAGCTCTTCTCAAATCCAGCCATCACTTTAGTCATCGTTATCGTTGTCTTCTATCTCCCTGTTACAATCATGGTGACTTTGTACATGCGCATTTCTTGTGCCAGCAAGAGTCAAATAAAGGGGGCTAAAAAAATATCTGAACCAAGAAAGGACTTCGGTTTTCCCAGTCTATGGAATGCCAAAATGGTGAAACCAAGTACTAACAATACATCAAATGGTTCTGGTGGGTTGCCCCATGCCCAAACACAAAATGCCAAAGTAGCCGCTGAAGCAACAATTGAGAAATGTGGGCAACAAGAAAGGAATGAAACATTCATTGAGACAGATTCTCTTGAGTTTGCATCACCAAATCAGAAGAAGGAAGGGGCAATCCAGGAAAGTGCGAGTTTCTGCACTACACAAAGCCAGGTAATAAGGGACCCGATCAAAATCGTTTCCATGAAGATAGTCAGCAACTCTCAAACTAGTGGCTCTACTTCCATCATAGCAGGATTAGCGATTGACAGTAGCAACATGGATAATGATATCAGAGAGGTCAGAGCAGATGATAAGATAATTAAAATGGCAAAGTTACCTACGAATACCACGAAGGTAGCTGCAAATCGAGACAAAACGGTAACTAGAACCATCCTGGCTATTATTCTGGTATTCATCATCACCTGGGCTCCATACTTTGTTATGGTGATCATTGCTACCTTCTGTCCAACCTGCATCACCCGCACTATTTGGAATATTGGAAACTGGGTCGTTTATGTGAACAGTACCATTAACCCAGCTTGCTATGCATTGTGCAATGCCACCTTCAAAAAAACGTTCAAAAATCTTCTTTTCTGTCAGTACAAAAACATTGGCACAACAAGATAAAGACAGGAACATGCCCTACTTTATGACCACATTATACTGATTGATTGGATGACGTTCATAATATTAAAAATAATATGATCATTGTGTCAGCTTATCTACCAAGTAGACATTGATTATAAGTAATGCTCACAGGCAATTCGAAATAAATTCAATAAAATTGGAATGTCTGTTATTCATAAAAGCTGTGTTGAGTCATTTTCTTACTCTTACATAGGACGTGGGCTTATTTTGTTTTTAATTTATTTCTCACATGGTAGCCAAGGGTTACATATACCAGAGTGAATAAATGAAATCTTGTTCAAATTTCCTCAAAGAGACTTGTGAATCAGCCGGGTGTGCCAAACAAATAACGGTGCTATTTTTCTAATCTTTCCTTTGAATTCAATTTCTATTATTTACAGTACTGACAGACCAGCCCCCTATCCCCAAGACATTGACCTGGGTCATTGGATCACTGGTCCAGGAACATTAACACTATGTAACTTCCTACCCTAGTAAAATTTCAGAAGCGGGAATAAGGCTCAGAATGCTTCATTAAAGGAAGCATAAATATGTCTCTGAATTATTGTTCATTTTTATAATTTCACACAATATACAGGAAATTAATAAACCCCTACAGAGTGCAACCCTTGTTTAGTTGCTTCGACTCATAATACGTCCATCGTGCTCTCAGTGTGTATATGTCTTGTTGCCGTTTTTACATTTATGTTTGATTTTTTAAGAGATTTTAGCTCATTTATTAAAAAAACGCTACTATCTTATTTGGTTGGAGACGAGTATTGGGGTGAGATTTTTTTGCATCGCTTGTGAAGAAGGGAAAACATTGTGTTAAGGTGGTTGCGGTGAGACTGTTCCACTGGATGATGGAAATATCTGCAGTGACACAGAAGTGGAAATTAGAATTGACATAACCAGTTCAGTGTTCACGCACTGACTCAGGAAAACTGTGGAAGAAATGAGGTATCAAATGTGTCGTGTGAATTAATTGTGGCAGCGTGTATTCTTCTACATGCGTCTGAGATGTGGACTATCAGTTCTGACACATCGGGCAGTTGGACAAACTTGCAAATGAACTAGATTTGCACGATCATCGGCCATGAATGTATAAAAGGAAGCATCCAACACTGGGGCATTGTGTGAGAGTGGTGTGTGTCTGTATGTAGACAATCATGTGATTGAAGGTGGATGTTATCATCATGATAAAACATGCTGCGATGGTCCTGTTGATGAGGAAGGGAGACGATGGGGATCTGGGTGCGGCTATGGGAAACACCTCCCATCCTCCTTCAAAGCACCGCATGCCACCAAATGTACTTATGTCATCCTTTGACACCTTCTTTCTCATCCTCTAACATGCCGTCGCCATTCTTGCTTGTATCTTTCCTGCTCACACCCGCAACCAGGAATCACACTGTCCAGAATGCATGATCCATGTTTAGGGATGAGGATTGATTTAAAATCTGTAGAAAGAAATACACTCGTGATGTTCTAATAAATCCTTGAAATGTAAAACATGGACGTTTACAAAACATTCCAGGCTGTGATGTTGCACGGTAGCCCTTTAGGTATTCTTACCTGTCCTAGCTGCAGCCACCCTGCACTGAGCACTTATCAAGTCAGATAAAGACTCTATCCTAAGAGTGTCTCCTGTAATACTGAATATGCTTGATTATCTTCTTAGCTATTTCATTTAAATCTCAAATATGTTTATTTTCATGTATTTCATTAGGCATGCAACCAATTTGTATACTTTTTTTTGGAAAAATGTTGGAAATATATTAACCTTAAACATTTGTTTGATATATATGAATGATTTGTTGTCTCCTTTGGTAAAGGGTAAGAACCAATTCTTAACCTGTCATAAAGTTAGAAGAAAACAAATGAATGCTTTCTTACCTTCCTCGCCTAGCGAGTTACTCATAAGACTCCCAGCACTCTCCTCAAAGCCAGACTCGGTGTTAAGTCACACAGAACTGCCTCCATTTTTATGCCCTGAGATAGCAAAGCACTAAAGACAGACGAAAAATCAAAGTTAACGTTTGCTTCCTCAAGTAAATAATGGTCAACTGCTCTCAGCTCTATATTCTTTCTAGTTCGTATGTTCTCATTAACCTGGATGGGATTTACTATTCAATAACTGATCTACAGTTCCATATTGAAATACAACAAATTTCGATATTTAGAAAAAGAAAAAAAAATTCTTTTACTAAAATTCCATTGCAAAAATTCATTTGTCAGCATTTTTTTCCAAGTCATAGTCCATGTTAGATACATCAATGAACAAGACATGATTGCAGAAAAGGCATATAGGAGTTGGGAAGTCACGTTGAGGCTTTATAGGACATTGGTGAGGCTTCTTCTGGAATACTCTATCCAGTTCAGGGCGCCCAGTTATGTGAAGGATATTATTAAGCGAAAGAGGGTTCAGAACAGATTAACCAGAATGCTGCCGTAAAGGAATGTTTGAATTATAAAGAAAGGCTGGATAGGCTAGGACTTCTTTCACTGATGCATCGAAGGTTGAGAGGTGACCTTATAAAAGATTATAAAATAACAAAGTATATAGTTAGACTTAACGTATTGTCTTTTCCCTAGGATGAGGGATTTCAAGATGATGGAATATATTTTTAAGGTGAGAGGAGAGAGATTTCTAAAAGTCACGAGGGGCATTTTTTTACACGGCGAGTGGTTCGCCTGTGGAATGAAATTCCTGAGGAAGTGGTGGATGTTGGTACAATTACAATGTTTAAAAGACATTTGGATAAGTGAATGAATAGGGAAGGTTTTGAGGGACATGGCCAGAAGCAGGCAGGTGGGACTGGTTTAGCTTGAGATGATGTTCGGCATGGACTGGTTGGAACGAAGGATCTGTTTCTGTCTCATATGACAGTCTTATTCTATAATAGAAATTCCCTGTTCGTGTAACTCTGCAATAAAGTATACCCTGGTTGATCTATGCAACACTGTTTAATGAAGATATGATATAGCTGGAGCAACATCTTAACCTGGAGTGAAAAATAAACTTCTCATCTCTGTTTAATTGAGTGTATTCGCTGGGAAATGGAGGCTATAGTTGTATAAAGTCAGATAAGAAGCAATGGAAACCTCCTGCCATCCAATGCTCCAAGACAAACAAATGGGATATTAAGTTCTTCTCGGGGGAGGCAATGGCCTAGTGGTATTATTGCTGGACTGTTAATCCAGAGACCCAGGTAGCATTCTCAGGACCCATGTTCGAAACATATCACAGCAGATGGCGGAATTTAAATTCAATAGGTATCTTGAATTAAGAGCCTAACTAGGAACATGAATCCATCGTTGATTGTTGGAGGAAAACCCCAGCTGGTTCACTAGTATCCTTCAAAGAAGGAAACTGCCATTCTTACTTGGTCTCGCCTACATGTGACTCCAGACCCAAAGCAATGTGGTTAACTCATAACTGCCCTCTGGACAATTAAGGATAGGTGATAAATGCTACCTAGCCAGCGATACCCTCATCTCATGAATGACTAAAGGAAAAATAAACCGAAGCACATTTGTCACCAAACTTTATCAACTTTGAATTGTTTGTTTATTTAAAACTATATCTGCTGTCTGAGTCATTTCAAATTACACACCACACAAATTGAGTGCTGCCTAAAAGTTCACGATTGGCGACTAATCCTCATATTTACTGAGGAGAACCATAGCACACCATGCTGACCAGCAATGAACATAAAACCTGACACTTCCCATGAGTAAATGATCACAACTCCCATTATTATTGAGAGTTCCCATATTACCCACATTGACAGAGACTGTAACCCACATGCCTATCTAGAGTGACCAAAATTCACGACATTTGTCTGCAAAAGTTCATAGTTCCACACACTGGTTGATAGACATTCTAATTTCCTTCAACGCACAACTTCTGTTTTAACTGCTGTCACTTTCTTTAGATCAAAGTAGTCGTCCTGAGTAACCACATGGGTCCCAGTTATGACTGTCTCTTTTTGCTGTACGTGGCTGCTTGGAACTCCACTCACAACTCTTTCTCCAAGACATCGATGAAATTCTTGGTGCTGTTTCCCTCTCTCATTTTGACTTGGGAAAAATCTTCAATTTCTCTTCCAATGTCTATCCTGTTCTCACCTTTAACTGGTTTTTCTCAGACTTGTTCCTTCCCTTCATGACATCTGTTTCCATTTCCAGGTATAATTTGGCCATCAACAACCATTACAAATACATTGACTCGCACAGATGCCTCACATCCTCATATCCCAAATCATGTGACAACTCCATCCTATGCTCCCAGGTTCTCTGTTTCCTGTTCTGATGACTTCACCTTCCGCAGGGGGCCCTCAGAAATTTCCACCTTTTTTTCATCAATTCATGATTACCCGCAAACATGGTTGAAATTGACCTTAGCCATGTTCAACCTATCTCATTCATTTGACCTTCACCCCTTCTTCTCGCTCCCAACAACTATGGGGTACCCCACTCCCCATTTACTATCCATGCAGAATCCACATACAAAGAATTCTGAGCTACCATTTTATTCAACTCCATCAGAATGCCAGGCGGGTGACATATTCCACTCCGCTCTCTCGTCAGGATTCCACAGGGACAGATCGCTCCAGGTCAGTGGACCAATCCTCCTCAATTTCTAACAATTCCCCTCACACACACAGCTCTTCCCATGGAATAACAGAAAATGCAACACTTTCCCATTTACTTCCCCGCTCCTAACCATCTAGGTCCCAAGACAGACATTCCAGGTTAAGCAGCAATTTACCTGCACTTCACTCAATCTAGTCTACTGTATTCGCCATTCACAGTGTGGTCTCCCCTACAATGGGGATACGAAACACTAACTAGTGTCTGCTTTGCAGGACACCAATGGCCTGTTCAGAAAAATGACACCAAGCTTCCAGCTGCCTCCACTGCAACACATCACCGTGTTATCTGGCCAACATTACTGTTAGAGGCCTGTTGCATTGTTCCAGTGAACCTCAATTCAA